CAGCGTGATGTAATGAATGTCATTGAACTGTACGTGTGAAGATTGCAGAAATGGAAAATGTTTTGTCACCTCTGTATTTACCACAATACACAAACAACAAATAATGTCCCAATGGGTATCTCTGAGCCATCATTACCCATAGGACTGTGAGCCTCATGTCGCTAGACCTTCTGATCCTTGAGGAGAGGCTGGCAATCCAGATTATTATGTAAAATCCCCTGATTGAATGTTGACAGCTACATTTGATTGAAGACACTGGGGGGCCAAGACGGTGAGTGCTGAGTCAAATGAGCCTCTGGCCACATCTAGTTGTGATCCTCCAGCTGACTAGAAAGCTGGTGTCATCAGTCAGAGAGGAAGTGAGCCACAACTTCTGCAGATGTGGCTAAAAAACAGCGAGGGTGGGCTAAATCTAGGGGGCCCAGATGAAGAAAAAACCAGCCTTGGTGTTGGATCAAACATCAAAGGAACAAAGCCGTGCAAAGACGCAGCTGAGAGGCACAGAGGAAGCAAGGGCCCTTGACAGATAGGAGAGCAATAGGAATGACAGCAGAGAATGCTTGAAACAAAGTCGTTAAGTTTTTTTCTTTCCTTGGGACTGATCTCTCGTGGGGCATTTTATATTTTCAGAGGTCTCAAACTTCCTGAAAGGGCAAAATGGGGACAAAGACATCCTAAGACTCGTGACTGCCACATAGCATGGTCTAGTTCCTGAAATCCAGCTGCTTGTATTGGGAACTTGGAGAAACTGCTGGTGGCTTCTTTACAATTTTGTTTTTATTGTTTTGTAACGGTGCTTATCAGCTGGTTGCAAAACCTAATGCCAGGACTCAGGTTCTCTGTACTATCTGTATCGGAAAACGTAAAGATAGGTGAGAATGACGAAGAATTGCTGCACAGCAGAATTGTCCACATCTGTACTCCAGAGACCTCGGGTTTTTTTTTTCCCCCAGTAACCTTCTAAATTGATATAATTTCAAACTTAAAAAAAAAATCACAAGAATAGTACAACAGATTTCTGTATACCTTTTACTTAATGAGCCCTGGTGGCATAGTGGTTAAGAGCGTGGCTGCTAACCAGAAGGTTGGCAGTTTGAATCCACCAGCTGCTCCTCGGAAACCCTATGGGGGGTCAGTTCTACTCCATCCTTTAGGGTCATTACGAGTGGGAATCCACTCGACGGCAGTGGGTTTTGGGGTTTCCTTAATTGTTAACTTTTTGCCTCTTTGCTTTAACATTTGCTCTCAACATATGTATGTAACATAGATGTATATTGTATATAATATGTAACTGTGTATGTACATGTACACATACTATGTTTTCTGAATCATTTGAGAGTAAGTTGCAGACGTTATGCCTCTTTAACCCTGAGTATTTCAGTGTGTATTTCCTAAGAGCATAACTACAGTATAATTATCAAAACTAGGAAATCTAATATTGATACAATATTATCTTCTAACCCACAGTCTATACTCAACTTTTGTTCACTGTCCCAAAAATGTCTTTTACAGCTATTTTTCCCTTGATCTAAGGTCAAATCCAGGATCATGCATTGCACTTAGTTGTCCTATCTCTTTAGTGGAACCCAAACCAAACCAGTTGCCATTGGGTCGATTCTGACTCATGCGATCCCCTGGGTGTCAGAGTAGAGTCATGCTCCATAGGGTTTTGAATGGCTGATTTTTCAGAAGTAGATCACCAGGCCTTCCTTCCGAGGCATCTCTAGGTGGGCTGAAACCTCCAACCTTTTGGTTAGCAGCCAAGTGCATTAACAGTCTACACCACCCCGGCAGCCCCTCTTTAATGGAGACCTTGGTTTTTCCTTGCCTTTAACACGTGGCACTGAACTCTCCTGAGACCTAAAACCTATGCCAAATTACAAGCATTTTAATGGATTTTTTAAAATATTCTAAATGTAAATTTCGATAAAAATTTACACTGAAATATAGGTCAAAACTGGAACTTGAAATTCACTAACTAGAAAGCTCTTTTCGGGCCATAGGGAACATGGATCAATCAAACGGGTTGAGACTGCTTTTTAACTTCCGCTCAGAGCCCTGTTTTGACAGCAAAGCCAAGTTTTCGTCTGTTTTCCTGGGCTGTGCATCTCTCTCCCTTCCTTGTTCTTATGTTACTGTTGCGGCCTGTGTAGTCCTCAAACTAGCTTTGGTGAAGCTTCAGTTTTGTTGCTTTGACATAGTTTTTTTTTTTTAATTGTCACTGAAAACATACACAGCAGAACATACACCAATTCAACAATTTCTACACACACAATTCAGTGACACTGATTATATTCTTCAAATTGTTCAATCATTCTCACCCTCCTTTTCCAAATTGTTCTTCCCGTTAACATAAACTCATTGCCCCCAGATCTTCCTATCTAACCTTTCAAGTTGCTATTGTCAGTTTGATCCCATATAGATGATTCTTTAAAAGAGCACAATGCTCAAGGCAGACATTCCTTATTAATTAAGCTAAACACCAAAACCAAATCAAACCCACTGCTGTTGAGTCGATTCCGACTTCTAGTGGCCCTATAGGATAGAGGAGAACTGTCCCATAGGGTTTCCAAGGCTGTAAATCTTCACAGAAGCAGACTGCCACAACTTTCTCCCTCAGAGCAGCTGGTGGGTTTGAACCCCTAACCTTTCAGTTAGCAGCTGAGCGCCTTAACCACTGCACCACCAGGGCTCCATTTTGTAAAGATTACAGCCTGGAAAACCCTATAGGGCAGTTCTACTCTGTCACACGGGGCCACTATAAGTGGAAATCTACTTGATAACACTTAACAACATTTATAAACCTCCCCCAAAAAACCGTTGCTGTCAAGTGGATTCCCACTTATAGCAACCCTATAGGACACAGTAGAACGGCCCCATAGGGTTTCCAAAGTGCGGCTGGTGGATTCGAACTGCCGACCTTTTGGTGAGCAGCTGAGCTCCTAACCACTGTACCACCAAGGCTCCACAACAACATTTATACAGTACATAAAAGTTTTTTTTTTTGAACACCAAAGTGCAAACTAAGTTTGTTGTTGTTTGTTATGGATTGAATTGTATCCTCTAAAAATGTGTGTCAGCTTGGCTAGGCCATGATTCCCAGTATTGTGTGGTTGTCCTCTGTTTTGTGATCTGATGTGATTGTCCTATGTGTTGTAAATCCTAACCTCCATCATGTTAATGAAGCAGGATTAGAGGCAGTTATGTTAATGAGGCAGGACTCAATCTGCAGGATTAGGATTGTATGTTCAGTCAATCTCTTTTGAGATATAAGAGAGAATTGAGCAGAGCAGAGCAAGAAGAGCAGGAGCGGAGCGTGTCCTTTGGACCCAGGGTCCCTGCGCTGAGACCACGCTCCTAGAGCAGGGGAAGATTGATGACAAGGATCTTCCCCCAGAGCTGACAGAGACAGAAAACCTTCCCCTGAAACTGGCACCCTGAATTCGGACTTCTGGCCTCCTAGACTGTGAGAGAATAAATTTCTGTTTGTTAAAGCCACCCGCTTGTGGTATTTCTGTCATAGCAGCACTAGATAATTAAGACATCGTTTTTTAAAAAAACTTTTCAAATGTAAAACAAAACTTACAAAAACCCACACAAAAATAAATGACTCAATGAGTTATTTTATGATGAACTCCCTCCAGTTCAAGAAACAGCACCTCCATGGGTTTCTTCCTGATCTCTGCTTCTCCCAGTATAAACAAACATACATACACATATATATAATATAAATGTTTTGCTTAAATATATACACAGCTGATCTCCCTAAAGGCTCCTCCCTCCGAAAGTTTCTTTTTAAGCCGAGATTTACAGTGACTGGAAGGCAGGATTTTCAGAGAGTGGGGAGAACCAGCCAGGAAAAACCTAGCTTTTAACTTCAGACTCGGCTCTGGTGGTAACCAGTGGTTGTTGGACAAGCCTTGGTTCTCTCTAGTGTAAAGAGGGATAATACTATTTTATCCTCATTTGACAGGTCTGCCTGCACACAGGGATGTTGAGAGGTTCAAGTGCAAAATGGAAAGGTAGAAGGTGTTTCTGCTCATATCCCTCAACACAGAATAAACCTTCTGCAGACCCTGGTGATTTGGGGCCTCGCATTGGGGCTGATTTTGCCACAGGTGAACCACACCTCTAAATTAATCAGTAGCCTAAAGCACTAGGTTTGTAAAAGTACAAATTAAAATACAGGTTTCTGGATCCCATCCTGAGGAACCCTGGTGGTGCAGTGGTTAGGCGCTCACACCGAAAGGTTGGTGATTCGAACCCACCAGCCCCTCTGCAGGAGTCTGCTTCTAAAGATGATAGCTTGGAAACCTTATGGGGCCTTTCTACGCTGTCCTATAGGGTCACTATGAGTCAGACTCAACCGGAACGGGTTTGGTTTTGGTTTGGACTCCATCCCCGGAGTTTCTTATGGAGTTTCTAGGGAGGGGTCTCAGCATTTGCATTTCTAACAAGTTCCTTATACTGCTGATACAGTTGGTCCCGGGACCACACTTTGAGTTTAGAGTTTCCCGGAGAGCTGCCTTTGCTGGGCTAGGATTCTATCTAGTCCACTTAGATTTCCATTGACCTGGAGTGATTCCGACTCACAGCGACCCTATAGGACAGAGTAGAACTGTCCCCTAGGGTTTCCAAGGCTGTCATCTTTACAGGAGCAAACTGCCACATAGACTTTGAGGCTCTCATTTCCACCTTCTGTCCTCACAAGGCACCCAGGGAGCAAGGAGACCTTTGTCCACGCCCAGCCCCCGAGCGGGTTATCAAGCTGCTAACGAAGGGGCCGTTGGATTGCCGTTCCAAAGGGCCCCCTCCGCCTGGCAGACGGCGGTAAAATCCAGATAGCACCTCCGTGCCTTGGAGTCACGCGGCCGCCGATGGCCTCCGGGCTCGCGCTGCCTGCCAGCCTCCACCCCGGATCTGCGCTGTGCTGCCGTGGGCGGTCGCAGGGCGGGGCTGGCGGCCCGGCAGTCGCCAGGCGGCGGGTCCTCAGTCAGCTGACGCCGAGCTGCTGGCCGGGGTGCCCACTGCGAGCCCGGAGGTCGGAGGGTGAACATGTCGGGGTTCCTCGTTCACACGCTCTCTCTGCTGCTGATGCCCCTGCTGCTGGGCTCGGCGCGCGGCTTGCATGTGAGTCTGTGGGCCCCGCGCGCGAGGACTCACTGGTAGGGGACCTGCTGGCGGGGCCGACTGGGGCTGCGGCCGCCCGGGGTCCCACAGGGCGGGGGGTATGGGACCCCCGAGGCACCCCCGGCAGGCAGGCAAGCAAGCAGCTGGCGGGGCGCAGGCAGAGGACCGGATCTCCCGCCAGGGGCGCGCCGTGCGTCCTTCCCGGTAGCTCCGTCGCCCGTGATTCCGCCTCGGCCGCCCTTTGGCTCGGACCCACCTTTCCCTCGGTGGAGCAAGGGACTTGAGATAAGGTGCACCCCAAACCTTTCCAGCTTTGAAGTTTGCCGGGAGGGGGAATTACAAGTTGCGCGCGTTCTGGAGGACGCCTCGGCTCTGGTTTGGGGCGCCCTCCCCTGTCCACTTGGCGCTCTGCGGAGCGCTCCGGAAGGGGAAGAACGGGGTCAGGAGAGGACCCTGCACTGGGAGCGCTGAGTTACTTTCCTCTGGGGTGTGCTCCATTTGCAGACATGTCTTTCTCGCTCATCCCTGTCGCCTGCGGTTTGACTTGGATTTCTCGTCTCACTCCTGTGCCCCTTTCCTTCTGGGCTTGGGGGTCCAGGTCGAGAGTGGGCAGGGCTCAGGCTGCAGGGGCCCCAGCGTTGATGGCGGGATGTCTGGCGGGGCGAGTAGGTGAGGTGTGGGGGCGCGCATGTTTGCGTGGAGAGAGGAAAGACAGCTTCAGGCCACCGGTCCTTGCAGGACGTACCGGCAGCGACGGGGAGGGGCTCCGAAGGGCTGCCGGGAGAGGTCAGCATCACACCCTGGAGAGGAGGATGGGTGGTTCCGCTCTGCAGGCTCAGCGAACAAACCTGGGCTCTTCCAGAGTTGGGTGGGCTGAGTCTGGGGCAGTTTTTAGGTAGAAGCTGGTGGAATTTGAGTCCATTGTAGATAACACCTTTTGATAAAAGCCTTTCAGTAAGGTGCCTAGGGCAGAGAAAAGTCATACATTTACCTAAAACCAAGGTTAAAATTTTAACTATTTCGAAAACAGCTCTGAAAATGTGTTCATTTTGAGAAAAACCAAAACCCATTGCCGTCGAGTTGATTCCGTCTCCTAGCGACCCTATTGGACAGGGTAGAACTGCTCAATAGGGTTTCTAAGGAGCGGCTGGTGGATTTGAACTGCCAGCCTTTTGGTTAACTGCCAAACGCTTAACCACTGCGCCACCAGCGCCCCAATGTCCCTATAGATCACCTCAAATTGAGTATTTGCAACCTCTCCTTGTTCCTCTCTGGGGTACCCCAGCCACACTTTCTTGTGGAGGTGTCTTATCTGGGAGGCTTGGAGAAGCCCTAGGTTCAGCTGAGAACCCAAGTGAGGGTGGAATTGGGAAACCAAGTTATGGAGAACCGTGGCAGGGTCATCGGAGAAAGGCAGATCTTAGCCAGTATCTGGGGGAGGGCAGAGGGAGTAGAAAGAGGGATTTAGGGATGAGGAGGAGTGGGCGGACAGGGCAACCCCCTTGGTGATAGTTGCACATTAACACTGGGGAATGTCATTTAGTAGGTGGGTGCCCTGTGGCTGCCATGTCCAGAGTCCACGCAGGGAGGCTGGCTGCTTCCCAGGACTTCTTACATCAGGTGTCCAGGTCTTCCTTGTGGGCTGAGAGCTGAAGGAAGAGATCTGTGGGTCTGGGCTAACTTTCCATTATTTCCTTGTTTACATTTATTTAGGACAGGGTTCTCCAGCTTTAACCCATATGAGAAATTAAAAAAATATATTTGTTAATTCATTTAAAAACTAGCGAGTCTGTTACGTGTTAGTAGGAACCCTGGTGGCACAGTGGTTAAGAGCTCGGCTGCTAACCAAAAGGTCAGCAGTTCGAATCTACCAGCCACTCCTTGGAAACTCTGTGCGGCAGTTCTACTCTGTCCTATAGGGTCGCTATGAGTTGGAATCGACTCGACAGCAATGGGTTTGGTTTTTTTTTTTTTTTAACATGTTAATAAAATTAGCATTTTTATGAAAAATAACTATTTCCCCCTAAATTTTAGGGCAAAGAGTGGCATTGTTTTACATTTTGCAGATCTCTTTAATGTCTGTCATAATAGATGACAGTAGGATTCCCATATCTGCTTCTGCATTCAGTCTGTGACTATATCACGTGTCATGTAGCCGGTGGAAAAGTCCACTGTACACCCACGAGAGAAGGAGAATGGAAGAGGAAGTAATGGCTTAGTGTTATTTGAGAATAGTTTTGACTTCATGAACCTCCCTAAAAGGGCCTTGGGGACCCCCAGGGGTCCCTGGGCCATACTTTGACAACTGCTGATTTTGAATCATTTTCTAATTGTAGGAAAAAAACTCAGCCCTGCCAACATGCCCTTGGTCACAAGCCTGGTCTGAGTGATGATTTGTGATGGAGCTGCGTGGCTTTGTGGGGGGAAAAATCTTAAACATACAGAAAACTGTAGGTAAGAAAATGAAAACCACCTAGCATACCACAATCGTGTGCGTTTGTATGTTAATAATAAAGTATAGCAACTGACTGGTATTTGAGTGGCTTGGATTCAAGGCGGGTTGGGAAGACCTAAGTGGCCTTCAGGTTTTGAATGGGGACGAGAGCTCTCTAATATCCCACAAAGCTGATGCCGGTTCCTGGTTGCAGGCGGAGTTGACCTGGAAACCTCTCCTTGGCCACTGTCCTATCTAAGGACCTCACCTTCCAGAGCCCGCCTGAACAGAACTGGCGGGGGACCTTCCTAGGAGCAGAGAAAATGGCGACCTTCAGGCAGCTGTCCCTGGGCGTGAAGGCCGCCCTAGCTGCTGGTACTATCTTCACATTCATGATCATCTCCCGCTCCTATCTGGCAGGGAGCCTGGAGCTCAGGGCCTGGCGTTGGCTGTTCCGCCTGCAGCTTGCCCTGTTTGTCAACTCGCTTATGCTCATTGGGTCCCTCTACATCTGGCGTAGCACAGTGAGCAACCTCTGCCACTCCCCAGCTGCGGAGTCGGCCTGTTTTCAGCTTTGGAAGATGGCTGTTGTGACATTTCTGGCCCTGGCCCACTCCAGTTCCTTCACCATGCTCTTTTTAGTGGCCGAGGAGCCCTATCTCTTTTCCTTGGCAGCCTACTCCTGCCTGGGGGCGTACATCATCATGGTCTTCTTCCTCTGTATCCTCAGCGGCATGGAGCAGGCCTACCAGTTCTTGGCCTGGCGCAGTGGCAGGGTCGTCAGCAGCCTTGACCAGACAAGGAGGCTGGCGCTGAGGCCCGCCCTGGCAGTGACAGTGACCACCGTGCTTAGCGTGATCGGCTTCCTGAACGCTGCCCAGCCCCCAGCCGTGAAAACCGTGGAGGTGCCCATCCATCAGCTGCCTCCCACCATGAACAACCTCAAGATTGCACTCCTCTCAGACATCCACTTGGGCCCCACAGTGGGCAGGACCAAGATGGAGATGTTCGTGAGGATGGTGAATGTGCTGGAGCCAGACATCACGGTGATCGTGGGTGACCTGTCCGATTCGGAAGCATCGATCCTGCGGACGGCTGTGGCCCCCTTGGGCCAGCTTCGTTCACGCCTCGGCACCTACTTCGTCACTGGAAATCATGAGTACTACACGTTGGATGTCAGCAACTGGTTTGCACTGCTGGAATCCCTGCACGTTCGGCCCCTGCACAATGAGAACGTGAAGATTTCTGCAACAGGGGCCCAACATGGCGGTGGTGAAGATGGTGACTGGATCTGCTTGGCAGGGGTGGATGATATCGAAGCAGACGTCCTGCACTACTCTGGCCATGGCATGGACCTCGTCAAGGCCCTGGGAGGCTGCAGCCCAGACCACACCACCATCTTGCTCGCTCACCAGCCCCTGGCTGCCAAAAGAGCCCTGCAGGCGCGGCCAGATATTAATCTGATCCTTTCTGGGCACACGCACGCTGGGCAGATCTTCCCCTTGAACGTGGCGGCCTATCTCCTGAACCCCTTCTTTGCTGGTCTCTACCGTGTGGCCCAGACTACATTTGTGTACGTCAGCCCAGGCACGGCCTACTACGGGATACCCATGAGGTTGGGTAGCAGGGCAGAGATTACGGAGCTCATCCTGCAAAGGGCCCCCTGAGCACGGCCCTGCCCTTGCCCTTCACCCTGTCCTCCCCTTTTCAGAGTGGTATGCCTGCTTCACCCCTGCAGCCTCTCCTGCCCAGCCCTGCCAACATGCCCTTGGTCACAAGCCTGTTTTGAATAGTGATTTGCCGTGGAGCTGGTTGACTCTTTAGATGGCCGGCTGCCTTTCCATATGCTTGTGTGTGGCTACCATGGTCACATGTGTAAGAACGTGCATCTGTTTTCCAGATGGTGTGAAGTGAGGCCCTCCTTCTACGCACAGTTCACGGGAAAGAATCCAAACATGGGGTTGCTTTAGAGGGCTATCTCTAGAAAGCGGAGTAGGGAAGGAGCAGGCGCGTTTTCCTCTTGGTGTTTTTCAACCATCTTTAGAACTTAGCTTCCAGAATCATTGATCTGGAACTTTTCTGAGGAGGGAGCAGGCAAGATGGAGGCCCCTCTGGCTACTGGAGAATGATTACTTTTCGCCCTTGGCCCTGTCACAGTCACCTTTATTGAAGGCATCAGCAGAACCCGCTGGGATACAAGGCTCACCTCTACCTGGCTTTGGATGTTGCTGCTTCACTGTCTGAGCTCCTGGACCTTTGCGGGTGGGGGACGGTGGAAAGAAATAGAGCAGTGTGGTAGGTGATGATAATAATACTGCTGCTTAGGAATTCTGAGAGGTTTTTGCTTCCCTCATCTTGTTTTATACAACGCTTGGGTGAGGCAGAGCCCTGGTGGTGCAGTGGTTAAAGTGTTCGGCTGCCAACCAAAAGGTCCGTGGTTTGAACCCATCAGCCACTCCACAGGAGAAAGATGTGGCAGTCTGCTTCTGTAAAGATTTACAGCCTTGGACACCCTATGGGGGCAGTTCTACCCTGTCCTATAGGATCACTAATGAGTCAAAATCGACTCGAGGGCAGTGGGGTGGTTTTCTGGGTGGGTGAGGTAATTAGGGACCGGCTGCTTTCCCCCATTTAGAGGTGAGGACACCGAGGCACTGGCAACATGGCACGGTGAGGAGGAGATTCGGTGCCAGAAGCCAGATCTTCTACCTGCCACTAGAAGTGTTCTTCCCACCGCCTGAGGGTTACGTAGCTCTGTCTGTGACAGGTGCGTGCAGGATTCAAACATGCAAAGAGAATGAACAAGGGCCTAAAGAGCCTGACAGTCTTTCAAAATCATTTCCTTGAGGCTGATTTCAATTTACGTGTAACTGCATGAACTGGAGCCTGGAATGGAGTCAGCTCGTTTCTGTTCCGGGTGTCAGTTGTATCTGAAGAAGAGCTAGGGAACTGAAACCCCCTCCCCAGGTTTGAGTCTGAGTTTTTGTGAGAAGCCGGAGTTCACTCTTTGCCGTGGGGGAAGTCCAGGCTTGGGTGGGAGTGGCAGAGCTGTGTCTCAGGTAGGGGTTCCCTTCCACTAGGCCCCGCCTATGGAGTACTGGGACTGTCCTTCCTGATGGGTGGCTTCCAACCCACCTGTCTGACCCCTTAAGAGCTGACCTTGGACAATAAGGCCACCTCTGCTGGCCTCTCGACCCACAGAAGGACAGGCAGGAGTGACCATGTCCAGAGTCAACTCTACTTTTGTCAGCCCGCCCCTCAGGCCAGAGACAAGAGGCCCTTCAACCCTAGTGTGTCAAATACCCATACTGTTAGAAAGGGCCTCACTGAGAAGACTGAGGACCTGGGCCCAGTGTTGATTTTTTCGTGACTGGGAGTCTCTCCAACAGGAAACAAAGACACCTGCCAGGTGTCTCACCGGTCAGGCAGCGGTGGGCAAGTGACTTGACCTCACTGAGCCTCAGCTTTCCTCAGCCATAAAATGGGGATAATTGTATCTACCTCAAGATTGTTTCATTGGGAGGGTGTTCAGAGATGGTGCATGAGCTGCACGTGGCACAGTGAGCACAGTGAAGTACTCAAATGTTAGTTTTTAAATGTCACATTGGGGCTTGCTAAGGAATGGTTCTCTGCCAGTCTTGGGCATGGGAACCCAGAGAATGTGTGGAGCAGCCAATCTGGGGAACGAGTGGGCAGCTGCCACCTGCTGCCAGGCCCCGTGGATTTGTCACAGCAGCAAGTGCTGGGGTTTGCTCTCCTCTGCCTGTGAACATGACTCCTTGTGCACTCTCTGCCTGGCACTCTCTGTCTTCATTTTCCTTCTTGTCTTGGTGTATAATGGGGTACCTGGGGGATCCTGGAGAATAGCCCTTCTTGTTTCCTAGAAGCCAGGGTGTTTGATAGCGAGCCATCCAGTCAAGTTTAAAATGTATCTTTGAGCTGAGATTCTGGTTGTTTCCTTACGTTTTCCCGTCGTATTTAATTATCCTTATAGCCAGGAATATGTTTGGAGAGAAGGGACCAGGAAAAGGACCCCGCGAGCCTTTCGTTCAACACATTTTCAGATGAGACTGTAGGAGAGGTGCAGTGCCTTGCCCAGGCTGGCGGCCCAGCCCCGCAGTTGCCCTCGCTCCTTTCTCCACGGCACCACATGACACTTGCCACCCCTCTCTGCCTCTCGGGAAGGCTGCTCTTCCAAACGTTCTTACTTTTTTGTGATCCAACCCCGTTTTTTGGATCGTTCTTTTCTCTTTTGGATCGTTCAGTTCTCTTGTTTTCGATTTCACCAGACCGGGCATGTTAGGCAGGCCTTGTGCTCTTCGGTGGAGTGGGTAACGTTTGACTCACCTGATACACCGCTAATTTCATGGTTTCTTGACTTTGGATCATTCTCATCAGTAGCCTGAGCTTGATGAAATTAGCTTTCCTCAAATCTTATTTTTTTAAATCTTTTTTCCTTTCTTCTTCTTGAACGCCATCATTCTGTGGTCTTGTATGCCCTCCATTCCCTCTGAAGTCCTTGTTACACTGATTCCTCTTTGTTAACAGAAATAAAACAGGCCCATCCCATGTGCCCATGAAATAGTTGTCAACACTTCTCACACTTGCTTTGTATTCCCAGACCTGGTGGAAGTTTTCCCAGCAGAAATTTCTCCATTACTACCCAGATATGACCTGGTGGGAGCTTGGTATGGCACCCTTTATACCTCTGTTCTTTGTTCTTTACCCATTTACCTTCTTTGTTTTGTTTATGTGGTGGCTAGGGAGAGGTGGTGGGAATTACCAGTAACAGTTACTTGAAGCTCAGTAGTTCTTTCCATTTCATTTTTTTTCTTAATGTTAAATGAAGGTTAATGCTTCTTAAAAATTAAAAATAGCATGTATGTTGTTGTATGCCATCAAGTTGCATGATGCTATTGTTATAGTAGCAATAAATTAATCCTCCTGCCTATCCATTCCAAACATCCGTACATCCGTTTTTTTTTTTCCTTATTTTGATTTAAAGTTTATTATGGACATTTAAAAATATTCAAAAAGTAGAAAAGCATATTGAATCCCCGTGTACTCATCACCCACTTCAACAATTATGACCATTTTGCTGTTCTTTCTCATCTACCCCCGCCCCACATCCTTATTATTATTATTATTTTTGGTGGAGGAGGGGGCTGAAGTATATTAAGGCAAATCCTAGAAAACATATAATTTCACTCAAATGTTTCAGCATGTACTTTTTTTTAAAAGCATAGCTGTAATGCTTATCATTATCATATCCAATAAAATTTACAATAATTCTTTAATATCATCTAATATCCAGTAAGCATTCAGTTTTTCCTGATTGTCTCAATTATATCTTTTTATAATTCTTTTGTCTGAAACAAGATCTAAAAACAAGGTTGTTATATTGTGCCTGATACAGATCTTAAGTCTCTTTAAATCTGTAAAAATCACCTCCCCACCCCATCGTAGGTCATTTATTTGCTCATTACCTGGGACATATATCTTAGAATTTCCTACATTTTAGATTTGTGGTGGTGTTTAACATGTTCTTCTAGCCCTTGTATTTCCTATAAACTGGTAGTGCTAGAGACTGGATTAGATTCACACTGGACTTTTTTGGTAGGAAGACTTTGTGCTGAGTGCCTGCTGTTACATCCCACTGGGACTGGATCACTTTGCTTTCAGTGATGCTGAGATTGACCAATGGGCTCAAGTGTCTGTCAGCCTGATTCCTCCACTGTCAAGTCCTCATCATCTTTTCATCTAATGTTTTAGCATCCGTTGGTGATTGTGGCTGAGAGGCACTGCAAATTACAGATTTGTAAAAGCCTATCCATTCTTCTGCACTTACTAGCTGTGGTTCTTCTACAAACAATTTTCCTCATTAACTGGTTATTCTGTAAAAGTATGTAGAGTAAAGGCAAGCTAGATGCTTGATTCTTCCCATTTATTTGTAAGTTTTCAGAATAATGAATTCAGGCCTAGCAACCTCTAGGGATGATCAATAAGTTTTTCTTTCCTTTTTTTTTTTCGTGGTGGTGGTGAGTATTTTTATGAATTTGCATAGTTTACATGTCTGATGTGTTTCAGTCCATCAAAATCATGAATATTTTGATGCTGAAAGTAATCCTATCTTTGGCCATTTGGAGCCCCTTCAAATGGTCCATCTTGATGTGACTGTAATAGTTTTTGATAGTCTTAGACTTATCTTGTACATATTCTGTCCCAGACTTGGTTAAGTAATTCCATGTAGGAGGAGTCTTGGTTCTAACTTATAGTGAGAATATTTAGAGACTACAGTTAGAGGAGCCAATTGCTACGAACTAGTATCATCTCTAAGCTATTTCTGTGGATAGTACCAGGAAATAAATTTTTTTTTTTTTTCAGAAAGAGAAAAACAAATTTATTCTAGTATTTCCAATTCAAATGGAAGAGTACAAAGTTTTTACTTAACTTTGTTTGATTTTGTTTTTTTTCTCTTTTATACTGAATGCGTAACAACCTGATGTAATTACTTATTTACTCTATCCTACTACATATATTACCATTCAGAATAATAATACCAATATTATTAAGATTAGCTCTACTGGATGTAGTAGGTTTTTTTGTTTGTTTTTTTTTTTTAACTGAATACAGTTTAGGATTTATTTTTATCCTTAGGCTCACTCAC